TCATTCTCCTTCATTCCTCCATCCCAGCTCTGGGCTGCACTTGCCTCTCCTCCACTCCTCACAGAATCACAAGATGGTTTGGGTTGGAAGGGACCTTACAGCTCATCCAGTTCCACCCCCTGCCATGGGCAGGGGCACCTTCCACTGGAGCAGGTTGCTCCAAACCCTGTCCAACCTGGCCTGGAACACTCCCATCGATGTCTACAATGGTAGCTTCAGACTTCAGGAAGCTTAACTGCTAGATGAAAATCAAGATGATACCAATCACCAAAGTCTTCTGGATAATTAACATCGTCAGGCCTATTAAGAATCTCTTGATCTTGACCATATCCCACTTCCACTTCCCCACTTCCCAGAAAGCCCTTGGCAGAGTTTCCATCAGAACTCTCCTTGTCATCTCTGAATCTTTGCCTTCTGACACTTGAACTGAGGTTATCTCTTCACTTCACAGAAACCAAAATGCACACTTTAAAACTTTTCTGAGGTGTATTAATACTGCAATTGTCAGGCAAGCACTGGGGAAACACTGGCAGCTGTTTGAAGGAGAACTGGATCAGCTATCAGTGAAGTTGTGTGACTGCTTACCCAGGCATAAGGAAAGACCTCTAGCCTGGGCAGTGCAGTCTAATTACTATTCAAGGCACTAGTCCATTCTTATCCACTGTTTTAATTTGTCACTTCATTCTCAAACACTAAATGCCTACCACAGTGTGACTCTGGGCAGCATGGTGAGGGTGATGGTGGTGATAAGACTCAACAGCGATTTATCTCCTGGTTTTACTGGCCTCTTGTTTTTTCCACTTCTAATTGTATTTTCAAAACCGGACAATGTAAAGCTGGAAAGGGCAGGAAAGTCAGCTTTACCTCCAATTTCCCTATGTGATAGTGGAGGGAGGAGAGGTGTGTATTTGTTGAAGTTTGCCACAGGAACAAAAACTGACCAGTAACTGATAAAAGGCAACATTGCAATCGCAGGGCATAATTTCAAAACACTGTGTAATTTTTAGCTGACTATATGAGACCAACATAGAAGAAATATCAGTGCAGTTGAGTAAAGGTCATGCCTCATTTGAAACATGGTTGTTTGGGATGTCACTAGACATAATACTACCATGAGGAAACCATGTTATTAGAATAAACCACCATATGTTTGGACAAATTTCTGCTGCATTGGACAAGGAGAGGCATTACCAAGGTGGTCTTACTTCTGCTGTAGGTTATCTTGCAGCCTGGTAGAGTTCTAGATTTTTTTACTTGAAAGTTTAAACCAAACCTTCAGCAATGTTGTGGTTTTGAAGCTGAGAAACCTGGAAAAGAACTACTCACAGACTTGTATCTCTGAGTAGCAGGTATTTGTTTATTCAGTGCTGGGCACAAGGGGGATCACTCCACCAAACTTGTGCAACTAGGAGTAAAAACTTAATGGTTTATATACACTAAATACTTCTCCATATTCATTATTTTCAGGAATAGGTGTGTATTATTAGAATTAGTTCCCAGAAATCATTATCATACTCTCCTCCCTTGTCTCCTCCTACTTGGCCTCGGTCCAAGGGCCTCTGGTGGTCGTCCAGGGGTCTTCAGGAGGAAGGCTGGTAGTCTTGATCGGGTTGAACTTTCTACCTTTGGGTTTAATGCATGCTCTATAGTCCTGTTTTCCTGTTGCTAGTCCTCAGACCTGGTAGTATTCAGTTTATTTTCCTCTTACCTTGCCCTCCTTGAATTTTATCATTTACTTCCATTTGCAGCTTAAGCAATCCTACAAGTGTGCTAACTTAGTTTGCAAACATAAGCTCTTCCAAAGAACATCCTGATAAAATGCTTTGCCATTTTGCTTTCTTTGGGAAATTCAGTTTAGGAATGGTGTTCCCCAGCTTAGTGCTCCCACTGAAACACCCCAAACCATGTACCGCTCGCTCCCCCCCCACCTCCTCCCTCTGCGGCGGGATGGAGGGGAGGATTGGAGGCACAAAAAGTGAAGATCACAGGTTGAGATAACAACAATTTACTAAAAACCCAGCAGTGAAGTAAGAAAATGAACAGTAATAACAACTATATTAATAAGAGAGTGTACAAGACAGGCGAACGATGCACAGGCTCTGCTCCTTACGCAGAACTGGCGCTGCCCCAGCCGGAGCTGGAACGATGGGTACCCACGGCCCCTCCATCCCCTCGGCCCCCTCCGTCCCCTCTCCTCGGTACGAGTAGGTATAGAATAACCCCTGGGTCCTGGCGTGCTCTTCCTGGCTGCTGCAGAAGTGAACCCTCTCCTGGCCAGAACAAGCAATAGCCCAAGATTCCTATAGTGCATACTACATTTAGGCTACAGAGTCATTCTGTGTTTTAATCAAAATCAATTAGCTCACTGTTATTGAACAAGTTCAATCATTTTTGGTGTGTAAATGTGTTTAACAGTTTTATAACTCCAGTCATTTTCAAGCACTGATGAACATTGGGTATAAGGCTGGACAAGAGCGATGCTCTAAACCAGCTGAATTGAACAAATATATGGAAATAACATGCAAACCATCCCCTTCCTAGCTTGTCCACTTTGCACCAGAACAGATACATAAAATCAGGTAGGTTTTGGTTACCCAACTGTGAGGGAAGAGCTTCCAGATAATTCACCAAGTTCAGATTCAAAATCCTATTCTTGTTTCCTGCGTTCAGCAGTTTTCTGGTATAAACTGGAAAGCTGAAAAATGCTTTTATGATTTTTACAGGACTGCCATACCTGCAATGTTACACAGGGAAATGCTAAAAGGCTTGTGGAAACAAGTTGTAAAATCCATTCCATCTAGTGGATGAATCTTTAAATTGTCGTACTGATTATATTGGAACTCTAGCTAAGCTTGATTGGAAACTTAGGGAAGAGAAGAAGGTATACCTATCAGTTTTTCCTAGAAAATTGTATGGAAATTAATGACATTTAGCACAATCTGCTACATTCTTTTGGTTTCTGTAGGTTATGTCTAAAACTATTTTGGTGAGTTCAATGGATAAATTATCAAATTATCTCTCTTAAGGGCAGTGGGTAATACTCAGAGAGCGACCACGGTGGAAAGATATAAGATATATCACACAGCCCATATTCTCCACTTTTCTGAAGTTACTCTGTTGTTCTTTGTAAATTTGGAGATGATGGAGAACACAGAACCACAACAGACAAGAAAATCACTCCATGTTTTATTGTGTATGTCTCTGAAGTCTACTGAAGGCAGTTCCCCCATCCCTAAAAATTAAAGCCAACTGTTTCCCAAGCCTTAAGCAGTGCAGACAGCAGAGTGATTTGATTAAGAGCTATATAATGCCCATTTTTTCTGTAGCTAGTTTTTAGCTTAATTAAAGATGCACTGCAGGTGACTGACACTTCACAGGCACAACCTGCAACATGTATTTCACTGCTTGCCTATACCTCACCAAAGCCACACAGAAACTAAATCCTGAGAATGGGAATGTTTCTGTATTGCAGGGAGCAGAAGAGGATAGAAAGTATTTCTGGATATAACATTTCATGGAATGCCAGGATTTAGAACTTTGTTTGGATTCTGATGGATGGAGTCCAAATATTATCAGCTAAGTAAAACCTGAAGGACAATTTTCTTTGGTTGGCTGTAAGACAGTAGAGAGCTAAAGGTTCTCCACTCTTCAAGTATCGAAAAAAATGGAATCAAGAGTTAAAACTAATGATGATGCATCAAAGGATTTTATTCTAATGTTTTGTGACTATTAAGTCCTCACATGTTATGTGAAAAAAGCAGGATTGCTCCTTTTGATGCAGGTGGGAGTTTGAAATGAAGAAGTGCCAAGTCTTCAATTAAAGTCTCTTTTACTTAGTTCAAACTCATATTGTCAACATTGTCTAGGCCTTCTTCTTGCAAATACTGCCTCCTACACAGAAAAATCCAAACAATTTCATTTAGCTGTGAAACTGTGTTGATATTACAGATTTCTGGTCTATCACAACTGTTAGTGTTAAGGACCGAAAAAATAAACAGTGTGGATTTTCATTGTGATCAGATGCTTAGACAGTGGAAACACTACTAACAGTGATGATACCAGAACAGCCACAGCTTGGATGAGTCTAACCTTTGGAGTTAAACATCAGCCAACAGCTGGACTGGTATTTCTGGTATGTTCCACAACATGGGTAAAATATTTGATTAAAAACTTAAATGTCTGTATCCTTCATTTAAGAAAACAACACACCAAATTCAGGGAATACATATAGGATCAAGTCACGTTTGAGTCAGACTGAGTACATTTACACTATATAGGTCTGGTATGAGAATGGCCATAATCTGTCAGACCACAGATCCATCCAGTCAAGTAGCCACCTCCGTGTGCAGCCATAAGGAGGTGTGTAGAAGAGATTTTCAGTAGGATGAGAACATATGATACTTAACTGCTGTAACTTTCTTTGCTTCCAACTGTATTCAGCACAGGGTCTTCTGTAGCCAGGTGTGGTGTCTGTGTACATGCTAACCGCAGTGGACTTCTCACTGAGTTTATCCAGTCCTGCCTTGAATTTGTGAAAACTTGCCTCACTCAGTGAAGTGGAGAACAGGGTCGTTTGTCACCCTTGTCTGTTGGGAAGCAAAGAGAAAGTAGAAAGGAGAAATGAGCAGGAGTTGTCCTGCCCTTACCTCTGCACTGGACAGGCTGAGGAGCTGCCTGGATAGAGAAGAGTGTGTCCAAGCTGTCTTATAAAAGCAGGTGAATCCACTTAGAGCAAAAGAAGAGTGAAAGAAGAATCCCTAACATGAGTCACAACCCCTTTTCTGAATTTAGTGTAGCTGTGCTTCCCCCCTAACGCAGGGCAACCTGCAATATGGTTCTGAATAGATGAGACGGATAATGAGTGGGAAAAGCAAAGTAACATTAACCATTAAGAGGTATTTAGTATAATAAAGAAATTGTTTTTCCTCAGTAGGTAAAGCCAAGTGATATAATTCACTGAGTAAAAGGAGGAGACACTTAGCAGCTTGGCACCAGTACTAATGAAGCCAACAGCCTCTCCTGCTTTCTCCTTGTGGCTGGCTCTCATTTTGGCTGGATTCCTTGGCATACACGTCACTGGCAGTTTGGTGAGAAGTCAGAAGAATCACACGCTAATTTTCACTAAGGAGAACACAATTCGCAACTGCAGCTGTTCCGTGGCTGTCCGTGACTGTGATTACTGCCTGGCAAACTTGATGTGCAACTGCAAAACAGTGCTGCCTTCTACCATGGAAAAAACTACCTACAATAGCCACCTGACCATTTGGTTCACAGACACCTCTCTGCTGGAGATGCTCCTCAACTTCACAAGGGTGTGGGATTTGAAGCTGTCCTTCTGTGGCACCACTCCTCTCCCAGCGGAATATTTGGCCATTTGGGGACTTCGAAAGCTGCGGGTAAACAAGGTCAAGGGACGATTTCCAGAGCAGAGTGTAACCATCTCCTCCAGCAGCAGCAGCAGTGACGACAAAGAAGACTCACTTGCAGTGCACAACAAAGACAGGCAAATGCTTGCATATATTTCTTTCCTGGATACCTCGCTTTTCAATGGATACTCTTTGTTGAAGTCATACAGTGTGGAAAATGTCTCTAGTATCATGAAGCACTTTCCCAGTCTGCTGTATTCTGATGTTTTCTCAACCTCGGATAACAAGAGCTATGTTGTAACATTCATTTACTGAGTTATTTGACATATTCAGTACATGGCAGGGGCGAGAGTATACTTTCACCAGATTGCCCCAGGGATGGGTGCACAGTGCCACCATTTGTCATGGAACTGTGGCTGAGCACTTGGATGAGATATCGATGCCCTCTCAGATGCAAATAACTCATTATATAGTGACATTCTGATGTAGGGGAGATGCTAGGAGGAAGCACAACAAGTCCTTGAATGAGTTAAAGATCATATGAAACAGAAAAGCTGGGAAATTAACCCTGCTAAAATCCAAGGACCTCCCAAACCATGAAATTCCAGGAATTTAGTGACATTGTGGGCATCGGGAGATACTGCCCAAAGCTAAACAGAAAATTTTGGATTTTGTAGTACCTCAAAACAAAAACGAGGAACAGAAATTTATTGGATTATTTGGGTTCTGAAAGACAACATATTCCATATTTGGGATAAAACTTAACCCTGTTTTACTGAATTTGAAAGAGGAAGTGGGAGATGTTTGAAGTGATGACATTTGTCTTCCCATGCAATTGTTATGCATGATGGGCCCTGCTCTCCTGGAGATGCTGAACATCTCCTGCCTGTGGGGAGCAGTGAATTAATTTCTTGTTTTGTCTTGCCTGTGTATGTGTCTTTTCCTGTTAAACTGTCTTTATCACAACACAGGAGTCTTCTGGCTTTTACCTTCCAATTCTCTCCCCATCCCAGTAGTGGGGGAGTGAATGAGTGAGTGGCTGTGTGGTGCTCAGCTGCTGAGTGGTGTTAAACCACAAGTCCTTTGTGGGGCCCAGTGGGGAGCACAAAGGGTTTGAGATAAGGACAGATTTGATTGAGATGTACTAGAGTGAATTTGTAACTGTTAATGCTGTTTAACTGGTACTGAGCAGTCCTCTGTGCTTGCCATAGAGCTCACTTTTTGCTCTCTTGACTGTATATTAGAGTCTAGTGCTTGTTAGTGGTTGAGTTTTGCTTTTGCTGCTTACTGTATTGCTTATCACCTTACTGTACTGTGCCTGGGAACATTTTGATAACAGCCATGAGGATGTGCCTGGGCTGATAGATGGCCAGGGCATTGCTACTGTTTCTGCGCTGCTGTACTGGACAGGCTGGAACTTTGGTGTGAACTCGAGGTGAACAGACTGTGACCTGTTAATGAGTCCACAATGGAGCAGAGATCTACCTGCAGCCCACGGAGGATCCCACAGCAGAGCAGGTGGATGCTTGAAGGAGGCTGTGACCTGTGAGAAGTCCATGCTGGAAGAGGAGAAGTGAAGATCCCCTTGCAGACCGTGGTGAAGACCCTGGTGAGGCAGGCTGGCTCCCTAAGTCCATGGAGGACTATCATATGGACTATACTGATGGTGAACTCGAGAAGGCCATGCTGGAAGAGGAGAAGCGAAGATCCCCTTGCAGACCGTGGTGAAGACCCTGGTGAGGCAGGCTGGCTCCCTAAGTCCATGGAGGACTATCATATGGACTATACTGATGGTGAACTCTAGCAGGAACCCCTTGTTGCCAGCCAGGCTAGGAACACAGGGAGGAGTTCATTGCAATGTTTCACCAGGTAAACTGGCCCAAAATGACCAGAGGTGGAGATAGTAATGGATGTGCCTTTGCATTGTTTAAGCCATGATTTGAATTATATGTTACAGGAACTAAGAAACAG